GGGGGGGCAGAAAAACCTCACTTAATCTCACGTGGGGGAGAGGGGGGATGTCGAGAAATATCACGTATTTTTTCCACAACAAACAGAGTAAATCCTCCGTCTGCATTTGTGAACGCAGGCCCAGTTTTTAGATCCGCAATTTGCTACCAATGCTTAAATATTAACTAAATGTAAACTAATAGTTAAAAATTGTACTAAAAGTAAAAAACTGGGCCTAAATTGTTTCGTTTTATCATTTCAGTTAATTTTTTTAGGCCGTTCGGTTTTTTTTTAATAAAATCTAATATTTTCGAATCATGGATTAATCTCATTTCATTGCAAATAGGCATTTTGGAAAACCTCACGTGAGATTGGGGGGTGGGGGAGTGGGTCTGGCAAAATCTCATGAAATCTCACCAAGGGGGGCGGGGGGGTTAAAAAATAGCCAAAATTGTCTCACGTAATTTATGGACGCCCCCTAAGTTTACTAAGATACCTGCAAGCCAAATTTCAAGCGTCTAACTTAAGCGGTTTAGATTTTTCATACAAAAGGATTTTCCCGCTAATTGCCGTTCCCGCGGGAATTTTGCAATATCCTGTTGTAACTAAGCTTTAAGTTTACTAAGATACCTGCATGCCAAATTTCAAGCGTCTAACTTAAGCGGTTTAGATTTTTCATACAAAAGGATTTTCCCGCTAATTCCTGTTCCCGTGGGAATTCCTAAGTATACTATAACCTGCCCAGGAGTACGAAAAATAATTGTACCAAGTTTCGTTAAAATCCGTCGAGTAGTTTTTGTTTCTATAAGGAACATACAGATGGACAGACAGACAAAAATTTTACTGATTGCATTTTTGGCATCAGTATTGATTGAGTTATTTTGAAAATACTTATATGTTATATTTCATGTACAGAATTGACGTCTCTACAGATTTATTATAAGTATAGATAAGTAAACTCAAAATATGATTTACTAAAATATTGTCTAAAATATTTTCGAAATTGTATGGTAAAGTTGGGTACAACATGATATTATACAATTTAACTAACTAGGTGACAGTAGGCCTACCTTTAAAAAAATCTTAACATAATAACTACCGAAAAATGTTTCTATTAATTGTAATCCACACTTATTTACGCTTCTCAATCTTCTCATTTAATAAATTAGAAACACTGTGTGATTAAATTTAACAAAATCACAAATTGTTAAAATTCCATAAAAACAATTAAATAAAAACTTTTCACAATAAAATACGTCATGTGTTCATTAATACGGCAAAAATCATATGGCCGATATTCAATAAATTTAATTGCTTATCTCTGAGTGTCGCAATTACAAAGTTCAAAGAATACTTTACGAAATATGCGGGTGGTGCAATTTACCCGCCCTATATGTTATAACAAAACTAAAAACGTAAAAACCAATTAAAATCCTATTAGAACCATTTTCGACTTCCACACGGACAATCCGAGGGAGAAATCATGTAATTAATAAATTAGTTAGTAAATGAATTGTTCTTTAATGTATAGCAGGACCAATAATTTAGCAAGACTGAGACAGAATGAAAACTATATAGTTTTAACTAAATAAAACTAAAGATCTACTTGATACCATATGCACTTAAGTAATACTTCATCAAGTGAATTTTAAGTGTAAGTTAAATCTAATGTTTCTAAACTAATACTATGTAAAGTATAACTTGACTCAACTCTTTCTTCACTAAACTTACAAATTCAAAATCTTCTATACTCTTGCTACATTAAGACAAATTAGAATTACCGCCATTATGAGCTATGTGTAACAAAAAATAAATCAGAAATTAACCAATAATATCATAACAAGAGGACATTTAAATTGAAGTACGTCTTTGTTACACTTTTTCTAGTTGCATAAATGTCTAAGAACGTTTGCATAAAATAAAATCTTATTTTATAACCTCAAAGTTTTCTTTATACAATACAATTTCGTAATATTTTATTTATCTTATTAGGTTTTTTTCAAGGCCCTCCTGTTTTATAATATTATCCATTGATTTTACACGAGAAACCACAATGCGTTTTATATTTCCTATGCAAAAATGACATTCACGGTCTATTCTAAAAATAATATAAATTAGTTATTAAAATAATTTTATCGCCATTTTCATTAACCTTTATCCAAAGTTGAATTAGTGTTAAAGATCACAATGTTTACTAAATTAAGTTCCTCTTTAATAAAAAGTGTCTTACATAGTTCTTCATGAAGTTAAATAAACCTTAGCTGTAAAAATAATTATTACTCTTAAATAAGTATTCAAGATATCTTCAACTCTATTTCCTTGTCTACAGTCATACTACAAGTTATATTATAGTACTTGTTTAGAAATTCTTAAAACTACACTCTTAATTAGGGTTTAAGTCTGCCTTAAGCGTTGTCTTAACTCTGTCTCAGTGATTTCCAAAGGATTGTGCCCTTTTTTGCTTACCATTGTCTTGGGGCATAACTTCAAGATTTCTTGAGTGCGACTATTGTCTTGGCCAAGACAACGGCTGGAATTAGGCTACTAGTCTTCAAGATATCTTCAATGCCTTATGAAGATAATCTGTTGCTACTTGGGAAAAACGCCTAAAACAGAGACAAAACTGTACCTACCTATCTCCTTGTTTCGTTTCATCATAATGTCACTGCTATAGGTTGCGATCATACTGAAAACAAATTCAATTTCGAAGTGGTCGGAATATTTATACCTTCTTACTTAAATGTAAAGGTACTTAAAAATTTCTTAAACTACGTCTACGTAACACAGCGGTGAGTAACAAACGGGGAAATACCAAATGACAATTTACCAGCAACATTTGACGTAGTAAATGCACCTTAAGAAGAAAATTCTACTGTTGATTTCGGTTAAGCCGATATTTTGGAAAACAATAATATTATCTGAAAACGCACTGAAAATAGTCCTTCTTATACCTCCATTGACAGTAAACATATCATCAGTCCCACACAAATCATTGCTAAACGCAACACAATGGCGGGAAGTGACGAGCCAGTTATAGTTGACTACGGCTCAGATGTAATTTATTGAATTATCCGCCAACTTAGCTCCGCTGATTTAGCGTTTTATACGATTTGGTATTTGGATTACATTCATTTATCTGAAAACTTAATCTGTTAGAATGATGAGTCGTTTGTTTAATTTCTTTATTTGTTTTTAATATAGGTTAATGAAAAAGTCATTGAATCGTATCCGCTTCATTAACAAAAACAACATCATTGGTAATATCACTAATATTATGAGTAATTTCGACTCTACATTACCTATATGAATATTACAGAATATCATCATGTAAATTCGTCTGCTTATGTAACAAACAACTCAACAATATTACCAATGTTACGATACAAAAAGATGCAATCGATAAAAATGTAATTACCTTGAAAGGTCATCTGTAACTGTAACTCCATTGGATCCGTTTCTGTTTGTACATTTCTGCGTAAACAAACAACCGTTTAAAAATAAACATGGCAACAAAAAGCGGTCGTATTGAGAGTCTGATACGCTTTGATAATGGCTCTCAATGGCAGATGATTGCACTACTGGTACCAGACAGCCGGTCTGGCCTGCCTTATCATTGTGCTCGTCACGCACGGCCCGGACGGAGGGTGCAAAGGAAGCGCTCCATTCAGCCTCTGATTGAAGGAAAACAGTCGACGGCGGGTCGCCGCGCGGTACACACGCCCCACTCTAACTCCGGCGTTAAAAAAAAAACACGCACGCGCGGGAAAATTTGACAATAATAGTTTTAAACAGATTAAAAATAAATTAGCTCCAAGCGATTAGATTAGACGTTTACTAGAAATTATTTATTGAACGGTATATCGTAGTTGCATATTTTGGTAGTTATTACCGTAGGCAAAGCCAAAACAAACGTTCCGTAATTGCGACAATAATATTTAGGGTTAAGAGAGAAATATTTACGCAAAATTTATAAATAGAGATTTAGATTATGGGTGAGCCAAAGAATATGGAGGTATGCGGGAGTGTGATGGACGGTGTGGCTGAAAAGGGGGGTGTTCTGGAGTCGCCGAGTAAGAAGACTCCTGTGGAGTACAAGGTGTACCCGTACCGATGGGCTGTGTTGTTCATCTTCGTGCTGTACTCGGCCTCGAACGCGATGCAGTGGGTGCAGTACAGCATCATCCAGGACGCTGTAGCGGCTTACTACGGGGTCAGCAGCATCACCGTGTACTGGACCTCGATGATCTACATGGTCACGTACATTCCCCTGATCTTCCCCGCCAGCTGGCTGCTTGAGAAAACGGTAAGAACAACAACACCTACTCGTAGATTTGCACAGGTGCAGTACTGCAGTGTAAATTGTTTGGAATGAAACATTTTTTTTTCATAATTGTAATAACATGTGGTCCATCTATGTAGTAAAAATTAAATGTCAAATATCGAATTCAAGCAATGATTAATTGAACATTGAACAAACAATAAAAATATTTATCAATTTATTTGTAATGACTCAAAGCAACAATTTCACGTAACTACTTACATGATTCATTAAATTTAGGTAGGCCTGTATTTTACGAGGGCCATAAATGAGATTATAAATATTTACCAATTGTTAAGCTACACATAAAATGCGACATCATTTCACGATTACTTATTGGAATAAAACACGTGAATCCAAAACAGCTGCCGTCTAGTTGTTCGCGTAACTAACTTCCAGAGGTCGCGGGTTCGATCTTCGCAAAACATTTGTGAATAAACATGATGATGATGATGATGATCCATACAACCGATTTCGGCCATGGCGACCACTCCGACTCCTAGCTGTCTTGGCGGCGCTGGTGTGCCCGAAGATGGCTTACGTAGCCGATCTTCGCTAACAAACATAGTAAGATACTTAACTAAGTTTCTAGCATCCGTTGTTTGCATAGTATCTTTTACTTAAACACGTGTTATTCATTTTTGATAAATGAATGATAGAGCTAATCTTGTTAGTGAGTCAGTATTACTTTATCTTATCAATTATGGTCCGATTGAATCGCGTTACCTTTTTAATTACTCCACTTGCCGACAGCGTGAGAATTTCTTGGATTTGTTCTAATTAAAAGCGATAATTTGTTACCTAATCTGCCGTTCGAGATCATTGTCATACTATGATTTGCTATTACTTATTTGTTTTGCAACTTGAAATGTGAATGATTATAGTGATGATCGCGTACTAGGGACTTCACCTTAGAATAATTACCTTTCTATGTTTACAAATAAGTATCCTTTGTTGTCATTTAAAATCCTTATGTACACAAATATTACGTTTGAAATTTTCTTCATCACTATCATAAATAATAAGATAGTAATAGATAGGTAATGGATTATATTTTTTGTAATCACAAATGATAGGTATCTTGGAAGACACTTGGAACACTTAAAAGGCATAAAGAAAGAAATGAAAACATAATATAAAGACACGGCCAGCTAAATAAACTAAACTGCTTTGGTTTACGATATTATTCTCATGTTACGTCAATTGTACTGAATTTTTAATTTTTTTATTAAAAATTACGTACGTTACGTACGCCATGTATAGAAATGAACTTCCTGACACTAGTAAAATTTCCATGGACTCTTAAGAAATTTCCGTACACCTTTAACCCAAATTAATGAAACAATACTTTTGTTGGCATAATCGTGCTGTCACTCAAAGCTGAAAAAACTCCTTGATTGATGTAGGTAAGTGAGACAGAGGAGAGTGGTGACAGAAGAGAGTTGTGAGTGTGACATTGTCGATTCTTTGGACCAACCTCACCTACTAGCAACCTCGTAGCATTGCGTGTTTTTAGTTCCAAGTCTCGAGCTAATAATTTCCAATAAGCTCCAAAAAATCAACAATGTCACAACACAATGTAATTTGTTATTGTTTCACTGTATGTTTTCCAAACAAATAAAATAAACACTCCTCTGTTACAACTCTCCTCGGTTTCCCCTACCTTAGTTATCATGTATCAGTCTGATTAATCCTTATGACTTTCATATAATCGTAAAAAAAACCTTAATAACATTGTTGATAACGTAGTGAAAATATTCTTGCAACTCTCTCTCTTATTCTCTTAAATTTTCGCGAAAATTTATTTATTTATTTATTTATTTATTATTCATTATTGAGCAATTACATATTTGATCCAAATAGCTTAAAAGATGGATTTAAAGGTATAGTCAAAGGCAAAGTACTGGAAAAATTGCCAATTTCCCTGGATTTTCAAGATGGCGGCGGAAGCACAGGATAACTTAGATTTTTTCTGCTCCATCGACCTTCAACAAAAGCATTAAAAATAAAGCACTACCGACCGAACCGTTTTTAGGAAAAAAACATCTATTCACTGAATCAATTCCAGCTGGATTACTTACATTTACTTACTCTGAAAGTGCTCGTATTGAAAAATCTGCGATGCAAATTCTATCTTAATCTTTACTATAGAAGGACCAGGATCGAAATGGACTCCGTAATGAAGAGATCGTGTTCCCTAATAGATTGGTTTGGGGAAACCAAAGAAAAGGATATCGATCTCTTGAAGAATACGTTAACAGATTGATACTGATAGTTTCTTTTGTCTTTATTTATGAGGAAACAAAAGAAATACAAGACTACAAACTTGTAGAGTAGGCGTACACCGTAGATTTTTCGTCGGCCGATAGTTTATTCGGGCAGTTGATCAGTATGGGCATGTATGGGAGTGCGCACACTACGCCGATTCGATTTGGCCGATTCTTCATACAATTTAAAATCGGGCACAACTATCGGCCAACTAAAAATCAACGATGTGCGCCTACTCTTAGATTCAAAAACGCGATCTTCATTTGCCTCTAACGTTAAAAAGTGTATCTGAACTTGTTTTCAGTATTTAATTACTCCACGATTCATTCTAATATTAACAAATCGAATGAAATAATTGATTTACTTTATTAGTAATATTATCTGTATCTGTGTTACTAGTAACAAAGTAAACAAATGATTTTATTCGATTTGTTAGAAGGAAAAAATGTTACTTTGTTTAATCTGTTCGTCAAAGACATCATAGTCGGTAATTAAAATGATAACCGCTTAAAATTTGTGTTTTGGGAAAAACCGAATAAATAACTTACTATACTTGAACATTCCACATTGTCATCTAGTCCCAAACTAAAAGGATAAACATACTTAGCACGTACTTTACACATAACCAAAATATTATACGTTGAACACTAGGCATATACATATACTACACATTTACTATTGAATAAATTATACAGCTTAGTTTATTCACGGGTGTATAATGTATGATATAACTACATATCATATAATACTTAGAGGATATAACATCAAATTATATAAAATCATTTAACATAATAATCATTTACTATAATAAACGAATAATATAATTTTAAAACGAATAATTTTAAGACAAATAACTAACAACTGATATAAAATGGTTTGATATAATGAATGTTTTCTATAAAACTTACAATGTATACTATTTAAAACAAATAACATTCAAATCATATAAAAATAAAATGTCGAACAATCAAATGAGATATAATTCTTTTCCTATAAAACTTAAATCATATAACAATAATTTTATATAAAGTCCAATTGTTATAATAAGCATTGCATGCAGCAAGCAAGCAAGCAAACAAGCAAGCTAGCAAACGAGCAAGCAAGCAAGCGAGCAAGCAAGCAACCTGGCAAGCAAGCAGGCAAGCAAGCTAGCAAGCTAGCTAGCAAGCAAGCTAGCAAGCAGGCAAGCAATCAGGCAAGCAAGCAAGCAGGCAAGCAAGCAGGCAAGCAAGCAAGCAAGCAAGCAGGCATGCAGGCATGCAGCATGCAAATTTTACTAAAAACGTGAGACTTCTGTCACGGCTCCGGCACTGCGGGGCTCTGGCGGTCCCTCGCGTGCTAATCGTCGCAGATGGCTTTCGCTCGACACCGCGTCTTCGGCTTGCTGGCCGGCTTCGCCGGCCAGCCTCATCCGCGGCGCCTCGCTTCCAGCCACCTGCTCCTCAGCCCGCGGGCCGCCTCGCCCCTCCGTGCCTACGCGCTTCTAAATTACACTCTAGGGGTAGGGCAGACAAGACTACGTGGAGTCGGTTTCACGGCGATTCGTTTTTGTCACTAAAGTCATTTATAAGTCAAGCTAAAGAAGAACACTAAAAGTTATATCTATCAGAAATTATATCAATTAAAGAGTATACCAAATAGTCGTTATAACAAATAATATTTATTTTATGTAATGGTTATATGAAATATTATTTATATTAAACAAAATTACATCAAATGAGTCTTAGATTAAGTAAGGTTTATACCAAATGTCTTTATACGTTATGATTGGTATCTGAAATGACATTATTAGAAATGATTTATTATATGAAGTAAACATTATATGTTAAAAAATTATATCAAGTGTTATTATAACATACGTTTATTATACAATATGAACGTTATTGAAATGAATTTATATCATATAAACTTATATAAACTGTCACGCACCCTTTATTCACCATAGGCCATAGAGACCTAAGTGAATAAACTCGAGTTCAAAGTCAACAATGCAAGTTTGAAAAGATAAAGAGGTAGGTATGCGTTCATGCATGAAAAATCTATAGCTACAGTAGTAAGACTGGTTAATGCCATTTTGACCAAATTTTGAAGAAAATGGAGGCAATTCGTTAAACTAAGACAATTATAAGATTCGTTCGTTTCAACTGAATGACGTCCACTGCTGGACAAAGGCCTCCCCCAAGGATTTCCACAAAGACCGGTCCTGCGCCGCCCGCAAGATCATACACAATTAAAGTAATGAAGAATTTAGTGTTTTTGGCAAGGTGGGCCCGTGTCCAGTGCTGCATAAGGGCGCTGGACCCATCCAGCCTCGTTAAATTCCTCTGTGGATATTTATCTTTTTTTTTCCAATAAAAAAATAGTGTCAAGGTTATCCTAACCTACATTTTGTATCCCATCTGGGAATAACACTTCCGGGTCGAGAGGGTCCATTTTTTAGCCGTTGACCACACGTTCCAAAGGCTGTTATTTAAGAGCCCGGAAGATTCGTTTTCCCAATCACTTTACTTTGAATGCGGAATAAATCTACATAATGGATTGAACGTGGATGCAAACAGGATTAATTGAACACCTACGAGTATCGCGTGGCTTATAGAGCGATGTGATTTATCATCAGTGCTATAAATAAAAGGTTTTTTTTTATATTTGCATAATAATACCTATCTTATGATAATATTTATAAAACTTCTGCCATGTGTTCAGCCCCTCCAGACAAA